TGAATTATCGATTGATGTGACTGCGAGTTGAGTTCGCTGCCTGTAGGCCGATTGATAGCCTGCTGTGCGCGCGGCTGCTTGCGCAGGCTATCTATCTGTTAGGCGTCTCCTACAGAGTAATCGTGGGAATGGGCGCATTGCCAGCAAAAATGTGTAGGAAATATACATAACACTATCCTTTTGTACTCCAATTTCACTAGATTGCACCTCATGCAGACTTTCTATTTGAAGACGCCCTATCTTTGATTTTAATAAAGTCAAATGCCTGGTAAAATAGCATCGTTCAATAATGTTCCATATGAAGAACACACGCAGTTCACATCCCCTGCATAATTTTATGAGCTGTTTATGGCACCGGCCTAACAGCATAGAGAAAAGCATACTTTTCAGTGGATAGAAAGTGCATCGCTTAGAGTTAAGCCCTAAAAGCAAATGAAACGGCAGGTCAGGGTCAAAATATTCGGAAATTGAAAAACTTTTTTCATTGATTACGGTATTTGAAAAGACACAAGTCACTGTCATTGGCTGCAAAAAATAATATTTCATATTGTAGTGCTGGTGAATTCGAGATTGTGTGCTTAGAAATTCCTGCGTGGACAGTCAGCTTACTATATCAGAATTGGTAGATTCCATACGTTGCAGTAGGCTAGGCTGTTAAGTTGACCCAAGTTTGATTAAACACACGGCTATCGGGAGCCTCGTAGCTCAGGTGATTTGAGCATTAGCTGTACTAAAGCTTTCTCCTTTCTGTAGTGAGTTCAAATCCTACCGAGTCCACTAAATTGTTCACAATTAGGCCATATAATTCATACTAAGTAAGTTGTCACTTTTAAAAACTGTTATTTTCGCGAATTTTAGAAACGACGTGCATTCAGAAGTCGTCATCCTGACTTATCCCACATAATACCCCCTATCATTACCCCCAATTGACCAGTCCTTTTTAACCGACATCTTCCTTCAGAGTTTCGATCAAAATTTCATGAGATATGTTCCCTATCATAATGAAATAGACAGGCAGTATAGGAATACGCCAGATTTAAAGCACATTGGAAAAATTGACGGAGTATATACTAGCCTGTGTTCACTGCATGTCATGGCTTGGGGACTGTCCTGTGACAGCCGGGCAAAATAACTCATCAGTCGGTTAGTAATCTCCAAATGGTAAGTGCAAAACCCCGTAAAGGCACTTACAGGGTAATGCATGTGCGCGAGGTACAATCGACATTCTATTGACATTCGTAGCGCGTGTGAGCAAATGTCAGCCTCCAAAAGTACATTTCCTCAGTTACTAGACTTCTAACAGCGCGACGTGATTGGAAGTGTGATGTGAACCAGCGCTAGGATGTGTTGATGTCAAGCTACACAGGTGAGGCCTGCCGCCGTGCACTTTGATTCTGACCCAGACATGACA